ATGCGTTCTTCATTATTGAGCATAAGATCCAATCTCCAGACATAACGAGGCTAAGGACGCCCGACCTTCGCTGCCTTCACTGCTTAACTGATGTCTAGTGGGAACACCGTGTGTGAACTGAATGTGTTCAGCGTCGTGCAGTTGGTGCGAGAGTTGCAGTTGAATCGTTCAACACCATTAGATAACGCACCAGGCTCCGATGGCTGGGCCGCGTGTTACTCATGCCAGCACACCGACTCTCGTGTCTCGCGTTGTTAGCGCGACCGGGGTCTGGATGGAAGACGAGGAGGGGTTGCCAAGCGGGATCCTGGTCGAGAGGAACGAATACCCTCACTTCGAATTTGGCGTTGGTTGCTGCCTCCCGACTACCGGACTGGGGTCGGAAGGACGATGGACAAGTTCGTTTGCAGACACTTGCTGATATGGCGAAGAACCGGCCCCAGCGGTACTTATGTTGTGAGTTTCTTTGTACATCCCTACTTCTTTAGATTCGCTAATTACGGCCTCATACCAAATGCACAAAATGATATGTAACATAATATTAATTGATTGTTGAACTTTTTTCTAGTCAGAAATTGTATCATGGCACATTGGTTGAAGGGGGTGTTTGTCACCCTCATTCAACGTGTGCTGATGATTATGATGGTGATGTTCCATCCGTTTGCAGAGCCACTTTTGAATGTGGACATTTAGCTTTTCATCAGTGCCTGACATAGCTTTGTTCACAGCTGCAAGTGAATTTGTATAAGCAATGGGATTTGCACCGCTTCGACAGCGGTGTCTTCGATGAACCCTTAAGCACTGATCTTGCGGGCATGACGAAACCGTGGACATTGTTGTGTTGTGTTGTGTTTTCTTTTACTATTTCTGTACCTTGTTTTGTGTTCCACGGTTTCCGATGGTGCAATGTCTATTCATAGACTGTTGCAATATATATATATATATATATATATATATATATTGCGGGCATGAGAAAACCTATATCTGCTCCATTGTGTGTCTTTTTCCTTGAGGCGCTTATTCGTTTCGCGGCGAACTTCATGTGGTAGTCACCTTTGAAAAGCAGCTCAAGCAAAACAAGATTCTTTTGATCCAGTCTCTCTTGATCTCGTTCTATCGTGTCACTGAAGCGCTGTATGAACTGCAATGGCTAATCATTAGATTGTAGTACGTGTAACAACAGTTGTGTCCCTGCTTCCAGTGTATCTGTGGTGTAAATAATCTCAACTCCATAGAACGAACTTCGTACTAACCAGCAAGTGTAATGCAGCAGCGGAAAGCTCTTAAAATGGAAGTATTGACTCATCTAGGTGGTTTCCTGGTAGACTGAGTTTCGGACTGCACTACTGGTAGTCGCGTGAGCAGTAATTTTAAGTATGTGAGACAACTGTCGTGCTCATTTTCGCTTGTCACAGCAAGATTCGGACGCACACTGTTGAGCGCTTTGGTATAAGCGCAATGTCTTCATCCGAATCCATGACTAATTGTGCGTCATCAATATGGTGTTTATATAAAGTTGTGGACTTATGATGTCGTCTGCACTCTATTCAATCATACCCATGAATAGGTCCGCCAGCAGGGAGCCTAATGGGCTGCCTATAGTCACCCTATCGGTCTGTCGATATGCTTTCCCTTGAATACATAGGAGTAGTAGGGGGAGCTGAATGGTGCAGATAGCAATTCGTCACATCTAGACTCAGTCAGACAGCCGGCACACGCCCGAAAATGCATTGTACGCGCGTTTCATCCTTTCGGGAATCGTCAGCAGTGTGCATTCCATCGCATCCTGGTAGGGCTCGAACCCGCAACTTGACTGTTGCCAGTCCGTGGTTGAGACCACTGATCTACGGCGCACGGCAGTGACCATCATGGATAAGTTGTTAGATGTGATATAGCGCCGCTCACTATCAACTGACTTACACGATACTATCGTGCAGAGGACAGCATAGCCCCCTCACCAAGCGACGAACGTACCAAACTTAAGCCGCCAGGTATATATAAATATATATATATATATTTGTAAAAGTCTACTAACAGACATAATGCCATCAGAAACCATGGGTTTCAAAAGAAGGTACAGAAACAGTAAAATAACACACAACACAACAATGTCCATGGTTTCCTCAGAAGGCGAGATACTACCCGGTTGCCCAAGCCGAAGTAGGTTGTTGACTTAGGGGACACCACCCCGAGCCTTTGGCTGAATAGCCTGCCCGCAAGGCAGCGGAGCGAATTCAGGGAATCGCGCCCATTGGGAGCCGGTGACTGATTGCTCAGTTCATACGCCTTTCGTTTGTTCCTTTGTCAAACAGGGGCCCAATGCTCCCCAGAAGTACAGCATAAGGTTGCTGGAATACAATGCTTCGCCAGGATGAAGCAAGGGGCAGTGACTTTATTTAGTGGCGAGTCACGTCCGCCACGTCACAGTGTTGTTAAACGGACATATGTGGCTTTTTATAGGGAGAACGCTTGCCAGGCGAAAACCCACCACGTCCTGGAACACTGCCACCGAACCATTTGCTGGAACGGGAAAATCCCGAACCACCCAGCTGGCACCACGAGGAGGTTGTTCGGCAAGCCAGCCAATAATAATGTGTCAGCTGTACGCCGTAACGGCGCTTCGCTGCCGCGCAACCACCACCAGTCGCGCGCGGGCTGAGTATACCGCGAGGACGCCCACCCCTACGCGGATTCGAACCGGTGACCTTATAGTTGCAAAGCAAACGTGCAAATCACTCGGCCACCGGCCGACTGCAAACCACTCGGCCACCGGCCGACAATGAAATGTGTCAGCTTATACGCCGTAACGGCGCTTAGCTGCCGCGCGACCACCACCAGTAGCGCGCGGGCTGAGTATACCGCGAGGACGCCCACCCCTACGCGGATTCGAACCGGTGACCTTATGGTTGCAAAGCAAACGTGCAGACCACTCGGCCACCGGCCGACCCGCCAAGTAACTTATGGCATTATAAGCAGTTTGGTCTGCGTACTGCTTAAATAGGAGTGGTAGGGGGAGTTGAATGGTACAGGTAAAATTTGAGGTCATTTGTGTAAAGAAGGTGCACGTTTCTCAATATTCCCAACTATAACATAGTCTTATGATGTATCTCGCGATAAATTCACATAGGTAGTTGACAGTCTCGTTCAGCGGAACGTTTGTGAAAAGCAACTATACGTCAAGTGAACGCATGCGCTTTTGAGTTAAATTTATGCCTTCTAATGCACCAGTCGAAGAATATTTGACCGTCAATGATTTCATATAAGGTTGTTTCGAATTCATTGTTAGTTGCGTGGCCAATGAGTATGCACAAAATGACAGTGTATTCCATAACCTTAGTCTTCTGATATTCTTATTTGACATAATGATTAGGTGCGGATTGGTCAACAAGAGCATGTGAGGTGTAACTAAGAAGAAACGCAATGTATTCTCGTTCATGATGCTTACGTCTCATTCCAACCTCCCATTTTTTATATGGAACTCTAGCAGATCGTTTTCCATCACCTCAGTACCAGTCCACTTTCATATGATCACTGTCTGTTGAAGCGTTGCTGGCATTTCTGATGCATAGTTCGGCTTTCTTCGGACAAGATCTGAACTCGATCCCATAATAACTGCCGCCTACGGACACTCGACTCCAGCATCAGCGATATAGGATCTATCGCAAAGGAGGAAGTAAAATTTATAAAAATGTAGATGGACAAATAAATCAACCGTAGTGAAATCAGTTGCACCAAACAGTACGGCCGTAGTGTATCATGAAAATGCATGCATGATCCCAACCGGTACCTGTAACACAAGTCTAGGCAACTGAAGCATCTAGTTTGTCCAAGTACAGTAATTGGTTTTCATTAATGAGATTACCAGATGTAGCACTCTTCAACTATGCTTACATCATAAAAAGTCAATAAATGCGTCTTCCAGGGGACGGAAGTATTACGCACGCCCCCTGTACCCCCGAGGTCCTCGGTTCGAATCCGGGTAGCTACGGACGATCTCGCGACATCCTCAGCCCATCCGCCACTGATGGTGGTGGCTTGGCATCGAAGCCTCAGCAAGATGTGCCGGTATAATGCTAATGCCATCTTCTTCTTTCTATTCACTAAATGTACAGTTTGCTCATCTGCATCACGTTATCCACAGTAACCTGCATGTGTACATTGTCTCCAAGTGCTGCTCTCAGTGCCACTGTTCCGTTGGTCTATAGGGCCTTACCTAGCTGGGATGGCTGTAGAATAAGGTGCGTACACACGAACTCTCATGGATCCGAGCACGAATATAATCCACCCGATAGTCAAACCTCGTTGCTCAGTCTTTGCAGTTGTCTATAATACACTGTCCGTTCTAGGAGCAATGTCATACCACTACTGCACTCCAAACCCTATTTCCATCTGCTTCAGTTACTATTCTAGTGATCGAATCTATCAAGGTTCACTTCGACACGAATCACGGTCCACATTGAGATTTCGCGTCGCAATGCGATCACACAACGAGTGCTTTATAATGACTCTATAAGCAATTAAATCACTCCTGTTTCCTTAATACTATAGATACAGTTTTTCGTACGTGCTTGCTGTTACTAACCCTCCACTGATACGGATAATTTTTATCAGTTCCGGGAATCCAGTAGAACTCCTCACGGTCGATTGGGCGTTCGAACGAATGATGGTAGAATCCTGTCCTGTGCCTCGACAAACAAGAACGAATGGTTCCAGCCCAACCTGCGACAATCTAGGTTGCTATACGCTTGACAGACAGCATTCCATACGTTTCTGGTTTAATAAACTGGGTTACCATTTACAGCATTAGGTTATCTGTCTCACCTATTCGGAGCCACCAACAGAGAATTAGTTCAGTGCCACTGACTCAGTTAGTATCCTTTTAATTGTCTACCTGACCAATGTAGGAATGCAAACCAAACAGCAGAGTTTCTTTTTTGTTGCATTGCCTACTCTTCGCCATTACTGAAAATGTTTCCGCTCACATTATGATAACTTTTTAGCCTCGCAGTGGTTACTGGATGCCAAAACGAAAGTATCACTCGCTCGATTCGAGGAGATTTACGCGTCCGATGAAACCAAACTTCCATTGTTGGACAAATACCCCTACTTCAACATATCTCAGTGCAGACAGCAAACGAAATTATAAGGCTGAGAGTCAGTCTCCAAATCGAGCAAGACTCACAGAGATGTCCTCTTCAAATACATGGTGAGTTTACTGGGATTCGATTGCATGGCTGGAACTCTGCTGTAAAGGTCTTACACCATCTGGACACCACATATTTTGCTTCAGGAAGTATACACGCATGCTTGTATAATGTCAGAAACTGAAATCAGAAATCGCCGCCACATTGGAAGTATTTGATTTCCACGAGCAGTTACCAAATCCGTGTGACAGGATAATGGATGTTAGTATAGTTTCACTTTCCTGTACACTAATTCACCACCGGACTCGTAGCTAAACCGAGAGTTGCTTCAGTGAACAGCCTTTGTTATGTTTTATAGGTCAGAATTTTATAGAGCCATCTTTATGTTGCTTTTAGCTATCAGATATGTTTTTTAAAAATTGAGGCCACTGAGGTGGCGAAGGTTTATCACACGTAGAAGTGCTGCTATGGGCCACTGTGGTGGATGAGCACAAAAGTTGTGCCTGGAATCGAAATACTTACTTAGCAGCATTTATCCGAAATAAAATTCAGGATTTTTGCTTACCCAGGGCTGTTTTAATCATGTCTCCAGCGTATTTAAAGAGGACCTGTACATGCAGCTGATTGCTGGGTTCAAACTATTTTGTTGCTTAATCTTGATCAGAAGATCAGTCACTGTCCAGTATATCTGAATGCTACCAGAAAACAGTGGTCTTCAGTAGTTTCGGTTTCTACGTCACAGCTATTTTTGTGTAGTATAGAATAGACTAATGCATCCAACTTCGCGATGAATAAAGTGGTAATGGATATTCCGACGGTCTTCCTACATTAGATAAACAGTGCATAATAGACCAAATATTCTCTGCGTTCACTGGACATCTTAACTACCCATTACCTTACGGTACACTGCCTTTTCTCTTTCCTCTTTCAGCGATATTTCAGGGGGTGTCACTCTATCGGTAGGCCAGACCGCATCGGACGACATGCCGCAGTCTGCACAGTGTTCTACGGATAATCTACCTCACGGGGACATAGGCCCAGGAAAACACAGAAGCAACAAGCACGCCTCTCACAAGAAACGCCTTAGAAGCAGTTCAGTTGGTCAAACGCATCATTCAACCCATTTAACAGGATGTGGCTTTGACAACCCTGAAAATGTATGCAAAGTCGCCTATGTAACCGCCGACGCTCTGACCAGCGCTCTCGGTATTCCCTTCGAGGGTCTAAACCCACACTTGAGTCCTGGAGTTGGTGAATCTACACAATCTTCGGCAAAATATTTTCAACAATGCAAAAAACCAGCACTGTTCCAATATCCGAGTAGGGCTACGGATAAACAGGTAGTTTAGCGACCATCGAGCTGTTCGCTTAAGGGTACTGCGGCTGTACCGCATATTTTCAACGCATTCTCATAAAAGCGTCTTACCAATGATTTTTCAAGTGAACTGTCTAAGTAATATTGATCACTTTATTTTGGCAGCTCAGGTTAATGAGTTGATAAACAATAAGTGAGGTATCCTTTAAATGACGTCTAACTGTCCATCTCCTTACCAAAAGCAACGCTACACATAACGCCACCAGAAGCACACATCCGATTTGAGCAGTCGTTGATGACGTTCGCATATTGCGTGTCAGAAACCCCATTCTACTGGGCACTGCGTGCATATTTTCTCAGAGATGGAGTTACTATAATATGCCAGCTTAAAAATCTACAACTCACCTTTAGAGTCCGTTTAGGATCTCTTCCCATCTATCTTCGTCTTGGATTGCTGTGAATAAACACGAGGAATTGCATTTTTCCTCAGCCAACGTTACCCGATCTGTCCTGACTGTGCAAATTTAGCTGTTTGGCGAGTAAACTACGCTGCTCTCAGAGTTGTTCAGTTCTTCGTTTATCTTCGATAATGTAACTGGATACACCAGTGCAGCTTAAGCGTCTGGCAGTGAATCCAGGGATACCTACAATTCCGCAACCGTGTGAATCATATCATATTTCAATAGGGGGTAATAGGTAATAGGAACGACCTGCCTCAGCATATAGTAGAAGCCAACACAGTGTCTAAATTCAAGATATTACTCGACCAACAATTTTCAGATGCAAAGTACAGAGAGCGAAACGATAAGTAAAGAGTTCATGTCAGCAAACGACGATTGATGCAGCTACACAGAGCAACCTCCACTCGCTGCTTCCCACCAGTTCTCAGTTCTCAGTTCTCATCTTACTGAACACAAAAGCATTTGAGGCGTGACACAAGTACCAAAACAAACTGCCCTCTGAATTCCGACTTAAGCGTTCAACGCCAGGCCACAGCTGACCGAGGGACCAAAGTCAGTAGGGTTGCGCCAAAACAATAATAAATTTTACTTTCGAAACGGAACGTTGCGGGCCCAAAGCGCAGCAACTTGCCCAGTACTCGTTGGAACTAAAATTTCACCACCTAAACCTTTTATTCACTATTATGAAGCAACTCAGATTTCACTGTCAGTGGGCCTCCTAAAGAAAGCTTAGTTTATGGCCTCACAACGGTCGGCGTTTGCTCATAATCACACCCTCACCCATGCTACTATTTCTCAAAACACACCTGTTTGTATACCGGTGCACAAAGATTCGGCAAGTTTTCTGAGTCGCAATCTCGTCTCCCTGCTATGCTTAGCTGAAAACAAAGGCACTGACACCGAGATAATTTTACCAGCTGTGTTCGTCCGGAATGAAGATGGACCAGATAGAAGAGATGGCGTAGTTCTCTATCATCATAATGACCCATATTTTGAAGTGGTTGATAACCAACCACCCATCGGAACAGCCACAACACATCACTATGAGGCTACCAGTTAAAGTTAGCCACACAGTATAGCTGGCTCGAATTCCACCGCAACCTTTTCTGCCTTTTTGTGTGCCGGCTGTGGAACGTTGTTTCGGTTTTCGTTATTTCCTACGTTTACCGAAACCAAAGCCCAAATTAAGGATTCATTACTCCAAGTACACCACCTGAGCTGATGCAAATTATTGGGAAACAGCATAACCTAGCCAAGCTGGTACACCTGTTCGTTTTACGGAACATCCCTTTCGATAAGCGTCATTATTTTCGGCAGACTTGACTTTACTCTTTTGCCTACGGGACTTGTTAACCATTTGTCTCTTTATTCGCAAAAACTTCATGTTTCATTATCCCACAGTTATGCACATTTACTCGAAGTGAAATCTGCTCTGGTAGCGCATAGTAGGACTTCACTAATGAGTAACTAGCCCCCGCCGCGCTTTTACTAATATGCGATAAAAATTGCAACTATATGCTACTGCAAGTCAGTCAACCCTTTGTTTGTCTGTAGGCTAGAAGAAGTCTCTACACACGGTGAACCTGTGTAATTACTTCACACCCTGTTTCATAGAGATAAGATGGGAAAGTCAGCGAACTCATGAGTTTCATCCGGCACTCCGCTCATCAACACACATTTTAAATTGTGCTTTAATGTCCCAGACAAAGTGGTTAACATAAGTCATTAGCTTTTCGCGACCTGCAGCATTGTTTTCTGCTTGTTACCCCTGGATTGGTAAGGTCTAGGTGATTCGTTGTATCCCAACTGAGTACCCAATGTTTCACGGCTCAAGATACTCAGATCCGACATAAAGAAATGTGCTTATACTCGTCCCTTCTTACTTCAGATTACAATATCCCACCCTCTCATATCATGCGTCCATTACACGCCCCATGTTGTCATCGAAGGATAATGCAATTTTGTTGTACGAATTGTAGATCCGCAGACTTTCTCGTGTTGACTCAAATTACTTCTGTTTGAGTCACTAAGATTGCCTGTTAGATCAGCCGCTGCGCAGCCGGCACCATAACTTGCTCGTACAATCTGATAACCTAGCCGTCGCAATTAAAATATCAGACACTTTGGTAGTTGACCTATAGGCAACTCTGTCAGGTAGCCATAAGTTTCGTCAACTTGATTTAAGCAACGCTGGCCCTAGAGTAGAGATGCATGAATTCGCCAGGGAGATAACAAGCACCAATACGCACACGGGTCTGACCCACTACAACAGACTTCCATATGGAATACATTTATCACCGGTAATATTTCAGAGGATTATTGACAATCTGGTGAAAGGAATGTCCGGTGAATACGCTTATCTAGATGACATTTTACTTTCTGGTCGCAGTGACCCCGAACACATGACACCTCTTGGGACCGTCTTGAAACATCTCCAAGATAGTGGACTCAAGCTGAAGGAAAATGTGCTTTTTTCGCAGACAATGTGCAGTACCTTGGATTTCGTTTCGATATACACGGTTCGTACTCTCTAATGGAAATATCCAGCCCATTCTTGACTCTCCGGGATGACGTAACATCATTCCATCGCAGAGTAGATCTTCCGGTGGGGCGATGGTTTGCGTGCCTCAGAGATCCATTGAAGTATGTTGGGTGGTTTTTTTGCACCTTCAAAGCCACTCATACCAGATTGGCCAATAGTTAGAGGCCGGACAAACTCAACCTCCTGATCCTCCAGGTTGGGGATTGGAATGTGGGTGGCTTCTTATTCCTTAAAATGGACTCCTTGTATCCCACCGCTAAACCCGCTGCCTTACGGTCTGCTATTTGGACCAAAGGCTTTGGTTGAGAACCCTAATCGTTCTCCTGTCCAGGCCTGGGCAACCTCGATATCCTGCCTACGCAATACAATTAATTTCTCTTCTAACGGTGCCTTGATGCTCTGGCCACCGCAGAGAATAATAAACGGCGCCCTATCTGCTTCATCGAGCAGGGTGGATAGGAGTTTTGATGCTACTGCTCAAGCCATCCCGTCTTGTTATTCCCCCTCTTACGCTTTTTTACCCTTATCCTCCCGTTCCAGCTCCATTTTTATCCCCCCAGTTTTCAACCCCCGATTCTTGGCCCTCCCACAACGTGCTTTGTAAGGCTATTTTATTCTTGTTTCAACTCACATGCAAACGCGGAGTGTCACTCCGGTCCTGTCAACAAGCCGTCGTCCAACCAAGCATTCCAGCCCAGTTCATCCTCTTCCATTTGGAGCCCTCGATCCTCCTGCAGATTGGCATGCCTCAATTTACACACATTTCTACAGATCGGTCAACAAGCAGCACTTGCCCGAACATTAGAACCCCTCTCCATCGATATCTGCTGCTTATCGAGGGCCTGCCTGCAAGACTTGAGCCCTGTGCTCACCCTGCGATCCCCTTCAAGTGATACCAACAGTATTTTCTCCTTGCGCCTATTCGGTGACGATGCAGCTTCAAACACTGGCCAAGCTGGTGTTGGCATTTCCCTGAGTCCCTGGGCTGAATCTGTTCTGGTTGCTTGAAGCCCTATCAGTTGCCGGATGTGTGCGGTCCGACTGACTAGCTCGTTCAAACCTTCGAAGTTGTACGGGTTAATAAGTGTCTTTTTGTCATCGTTGCCTACGCGCCCACAAACTGTAGCGATGATTTAGTGTAAGACGATTTCTACTGCCAAATGAAGGAGCTCCTTTTCCACAGAAGCAGCACGGACACTGTAGTGCCTGCTGAAGATCGGAACGCTCAAGTTGGTAAATTATTCACTGATGAACTCGTTCTGGGCTGCCAACACTCTGTAGGCTCTCATAATGATAGCGGTGAGTGGTTACTTCATTTCTGTGAAGAGGCTGGCTTATTTCTTGCGAGCACTGACTTCCGACACGGTACCTATTGGAAAGTAACAAGACCCCTAGCAGCCATGGACCCAAATCGATCACATCGCGATCAGTCATCGCTGGAGAGGCTGCGTCCAAAACTGTCGCTCGATTTGGAGCACATGTGTGGGTACTTGTATGTGCTGATCTGCGGAGGCGTTTCGGGGTCAGCGTTCCACCAGTCTGTAGCACGAAAATTCAAATTCAAATGATATACGAGAAGAGAACAATTTGCCTAACCTAATGGTTTGTTGTCCCATTTCCAACAATAAACATTTATTTTATGTTACTTTACCGAATTTCGACCTTTACAGTTGTTCAGTATGCATATAAATAAGAACACAATTTGGTGTGAACGCAATAAGTGCTCCGTTGTTATGGCTGAAAAATGGTAAAAATGGACATTTCAGATTAAGGAGCGACTGTCAAAGTGAAAGAATTCGGTGTAGATGGCTGCACACAACTGATTAGACATATATGCTGCGCTCCCACATGCGGCCGTTAGGAATTATGGCTAAACGTATGAATTTATCCTTTATGCACGAAATCTCAGTAATCGTAAATTAAAACAAAGATAGTGTTCTCCGCAACACGAAAAATTAATCTATTAAGCGTTTGCTTGAACTTAACATGTCAGTTAAATGTTTTTGCACACCAACCATTTAA